CTCTGATGACTGTTTCTTTTGCTGTGCAGAAGCTGTGGAGTTTGATCAGGTCCCATTTGTCTATTTTGGCTTTTGTTGCCAATGCTTTTTGGTGTTTTAGTCATGAAGTCCTTGCCTATGCCTATGTCCTGAATGGTTTTACCTAGATTTTCTTCTAGGGTTTTTATGGTGTTAGGTCTTAAGTTTAAGTCTTTAATCCATCTTTAGTTAATTTTAGTGTAATGTGTAAGAAAGGAGTCCAGATTCAGCTTTCTGCACATGGCTAGCCAGTTTTCCCAACACCATTTGTTAAACAGGGAATCCTTTTCCCATTGCTTGTTTTTGCGAGGCCTGTCAAAGATCAGTTGGTTGTAGATGTGTGGTGTTGCCTCCAAAGCCTCTGTTCTTTTCCATTGGTCTATATCTCTGTTTCGGTACCAGTACCATGCTTTTTTGATTACTGCAGCCTTGTAGTATAGTTTGAAGTCCGGTAGTGTGATGCCTCCAGCTTTGTTCTTTTTGCTTAGAATTGACTTGGCTCTATGGGCTCTCTTTTCGTTCCATACGAAGTTTATGGTGGTTTTTTCCAGTTCTGTGAAGAAGGTCCTTGGTAGCTTGATGGGGATAGCGTTGAATCTGTAAATTACTTTGGGCAGTATGGCCATTTTCACGATACTGATTCTTCCTAACCATGAGCATGGAATGTTTCTCCATCTGTTTGTATCTTCTCTTATTTCATTGAGTAGTGGTTTGTAGTTCTCCTTGAAGAGGTCGTTTATGTTCCTTGTTAGTTGTATTCCTAGGTATTTTATTCTCTTTGTAGCAATTATGAATGGCAGTTTGTTCTTGATTCGGCCCTCTTTAAGTCTGTTATTGGTGTATAGGAATGCTTGTGATTTTTGCACATTGATTTTGTATCCTGAGGCTTTGCCGAAGTTGCTTATCAGTTTCAGGAGATTTTGGGCTGAGACAATGGGGTCTTCTAAATATACAATCATGCTGTCTGCAAATAGAGACAATGTGACTTCCTCCTTTCCTATCTGAATACCCTTTATTTCTTTTTGTTGCCTGATTGCTTTGGCTACAACTTCCAATACTATATTGAATAGGAGTGGTGAGAGAGGGCATCCTTGTCTAGTGCCAGATTTCAAAGGGAATGCTTCCAGTTTTTGCCAATGTTCAGTATGATATTGGCTGTTGGTTTGTCATAAATAGCTTTTATTATTTTGAGATACTTTCTATCAATACCTAGTTTATTGAGGGTTTTTAGCATAAAGGCTGTTGAATTTTGTCAAAGGCCTTCTCTGCATCAATTGAGATAATCGTGTGGTTTTTGTCTTTGGTTCTGTTTATGTGGTGAATTACGTTTACAGACTTGCATATGTTGAACCAGCCTTGCATCCCCGGGATGAAGCCAACTTGATCCTGGTGGATAAGCTTTTTGATGTGCTGTTGCAATAGGTTTGCCAGTATTTTGTTGAAGATTTTTGCATCTATGTTCATCACGGACATTGGCCTGAAGTATTCTTTTCTTGCTGAGTCTCTGCCGGGTTTTGGTATCAGGATGATGTTGGTCTCATAAAATGATTTGGGAACAATTCCCCCTTTTTGGATTGTTTGGAATAGTTCCAGAAGTAATGGTACCATCTCCTCTTTGTATGTCTGGTAGAATTCGGCTGTGAACCCATCTGGACCTGGGCGTTTTTTGGTTGGTAGGCTGTTGATTGCCACCTCAACTCCAGCCCTTGTTATTGGTCTTCATTTTATATTAAATTCTTATTTATTATACTCTGTTTCTGACCTTCATTTTTTATTCCCTATCCATTTTTCTTTTTTGGTGTTGGTCCACATCATTTTCAATATCGTTACTTTATGTTTTAATATCTTAGATATTAGGTTTGAAGCTAGTTGTGCCTCATAACTCCTCTTTTTCAAACTAGCATTTTATATACTTGTCCAGTTACATTTGTCTAGAACTATTTAGTTGTAGTCTAATAAAAATAACCTACTGAGATTTTTGGTTGAGATTACATAAAATCTATAAACTAATTTATTTTTTGCTGTTTGCTTCCTTTCCTTTCCTCTTTTCTTTTCTTTTCCTTCCTTCCTTCCTTCCCTCCCTCCCTCCCTCCCTCTGTTTTTTCTTTGTGTGTGTGTGTGTGTTTGTTTTTTTGTTGTTTTTTTTTTGGCAGAGTCTTGAGTCTTGATCTGTTGCTTAGGTGGGAGTGCAGTGGCGTGTTCACAGCTCACTATAGCCTTGAACTTTTGGGTTAAACCATCCTCCCATCTCAGCCTCCCAAGTAGCTGAAACTACAGGCATATGCCACCACGCCTGGCTAATTTTTAAATTTTTTGTAGAGACAGAGTCTCACTGTGTTGCCCAGGCTGGCCTTGAACTCCTGGGCTCAAGCAGTCCTCCCACCTTGGCATCCCAAAGTGTTGAGTTTATAAGCATGAGCCACTGCACCTGGCCAACTAATTTCTATATAGACATTTTTGTGCTTTTTCCATCTCATAATAAGGTTTATTTTCCCTTTATTCAAATCATCTGTTATGTATTTTAGTAAGAATGTATGTTATTCTTTGTATGGGTCTCTCATACAACCAACCTGCTCTCCTGATTCCCATCTCCTGCCACTATGCTCATCGCTGGAGATACAAAGATGAGCATCCCCTAAGGTTAGAGGATTTCTTACACAGCAATTTCTGCGAGAAGCTCAATTTGGTGAGCAAAAGAGATAACCAATCAAATAATTACAACTAACTATAGTAATTATCATGATAAACAGAAGCACAAGGTGCTAAAGAAGCAGAGAGCAGGGGTGCTGACCAAGACTAGAGATACTAAGGAAGAAATCCTGGAGGAAAGGACCCTTAAATGAGTCTTAAAGACCAAATGGAAGTTGGCCAGATAAAAAGAGAAGAAGGAATATTTCAGGCAGACAGAGTGTTCATTGGGGTGTGTGTTCAAAAGTAAAGAGATACAAAATAAAATGTGTTAGGAGCTCCAAGTAGCTGAAGTATTGGATGACAGTGGATAGTAGCTGGAAATGAAGATAGAAAGTAGGTAGGAGGGTGGCAGATTGCGAAGGGACTTTTTTGAAAAGGTAAGAGTGTATATAGCACCAGAGGATTTAAGTGGAGGAGTGAACTGGTCAAATTTATGCTTTAGGAAAAAAGTCCCTAAAAAAGAAAACACTAAAAATAAATAAAGGCTATCCTAGCTGCAGTGTGGAAGATGGCATTAAGTGGTACGAAACTTAGCCAGAGGGGTCAATCAGGGTGTCTCCGTTGTCATCTGGGGCAACATGCCCTAAGGCAGGGCAGTGGTACTAGGGATGGAAGAAAAGGAGGGATCCCAGTGCGTTAAGGGAGGGCGCACAAACAGACTGCACCCTTGCATGCTCACATACCCATTCTTGTCAGCGCTTTCCAAAGTGCTTTATAGTTTTTACTAGTTTAAACAGGATGTGTTCCCCTGTTGTGTTCTGACTGGCTATTGCTGACCTAAGAAAGCTGTTGGTTTTTAAAAATATATCTATCTTATATTCAATCCATGGAACAGGATTTAAGAATTCATTAAAATAAAAAATTTAAAAAATATATATCTATCTTGTATTCTTCCATTTTTTTGAACTTTTTTAAGTGTTTAGTTGACTTTTTTAGCCTTTCTAGGTATTTATTTTTATCCAAGTACTTGTGCATATTGATATTTTTGACCCTTCACCTTTTTAAATTTTTATTATGAGATTCTCAAACATGCACAAAAATAAAGACAATATTATAACTCCTTTATGCCCTTCACCCAGGTTCAATAACTGAGATTTTGCCCCACTTCATCTTTCCCTTTTTGCTTTTGTGCTGTTGCTGAGGTATTTTAAAGCAGAATCCCAGGCCTTTTGTCATTTCAACTCTGCATGCTTCAGTATGCATCTCTAAAAAATGTGGATATTTTCCCATGTAACCACAGTGCCATTGTTATTGTGCTTAACAAAGTTCACAATTATTCCGTGGTATAATTTAGTATCTAGTGCATATTCATATCCCTTGTTTATCTCAAAATATCTTTTAACAGTTGGTTTGTTCCAACTGGGATTTGAATCACACATCACATTTGGTAGTTTGGACTCAAGAGACTCTTTTAATCTACAGTAGTCCCTAACCCTAGTGGCTCTTTTCAAAAAAAAACAAACAAAAAAACAAAAACAAAAAAAAACTCTACCGACTGTGGAAGAAACCATATCTGCTATCCTGTACAATGTCCCACATTCAGAATTTGTCACGTTTCTTCATCCTATAATTTAATTTATTTTTCTGTCTCTCATATTTCCTGTAAATTGGAAGTTAGCTTTGAGTGACTAACTGGATTATGGTTCTTTTTCTTTTGGGGAAGAGGATAAGACTACTTCATAGGTTAAGGCTTCGAAATACTTCTTCTGTCTCATAGTCCCACTCTTGGGGATGCTAACATTGAACAGTGGGTTTAAGATGATGACAGCTCATCCTTCTATTATAAATTTCCCCATCAGACTCATTGAATGAGTTCATCCACTCATGATTGTCTCTGAATGAATTATTTCATCAGGGGATACAAAAAAAGTTCTCATTCTGTCAGTCTTTTCACATGAATTAGCTAAATAGTGTTCCTGTAATAACTAGAGCTATTTTGTTGTCTTGAAATACAATATGTACCCCACTCCCCAAAAAACCTAGAAAAATGCTTAATTCATTTTCTTTTATAGTAATTTTTGGTTAAAGAATGGGTACCTTTGTTGTTCTTTTTAAGAATCTGTTGATTATGCTTCTAGTTTATGACTAATGGATTGGCTAGGCTGCTGATTCTCCCCCAGTTATTATCTTATTATCTCAGCCCTTGTGAAACGAGCCTCTTTAGCACAAGAGTCTTTAGATTCTTTGGTGTGTGAATGACTTTCTCAGTGCCACACTCAGTCCATCTAGTCCTGCGCTTTTCAAAAGAAGACAGAACAACCTTTCCTTTGGTTCTTCTCTTCCTGTTCCAGGTCACACAGTGAACAAGCTACGTAAACACTCAGATTCAGAAGTGGCTTATCTTGCCAGAGAAGTTTATACTGAGTGGAAAACTTTCATTGAAAAACATTCAAATAGACCTTCTATTGAAGTTAGAAGTGATCCCAAAACCGAGTCATTTCGGAAAAACGCCCAGAAATTACTCTCAGAAGCCTTGGAATTAAAGGTAATGCCCTAAATTTATACAACTATTATGTACCCATAATAATTAATTTTTAAAATAGAAGAAAAATAAAGTTAATGTCCTGGTTTGAATGTGATTAGTAGGTGCTCTTGGTTAAACTGCCTCATGTTTTCATAATGAGCTTTCATAGTCTTAATGCTGTCTTTGGCTTTATTTTAACCAGTTATTCTTTAAGCATTCTGGATTTATAAGCATTCCGAGAGACAATGTTGTAGGAGGGTAGGCTTTGGAACTAGCAAGATCTGAGTTGAAACCCTGACATTCTAGTTGTGACACCCTAGGCAGATACCTTAAGTTTTCTGAGACTTGATTTCTTAATCTGTAAAATGAGGATTATAAATCCTACCACCTAAAGTATTAGGTTATAGGAAGCATTTATGCAAAATAATAGTAGTTTCTGCTGATTAGAAGTTATTTAATGAATGTTGGTTACTTGCCATTTAAAATGCCTTCCCTTCTCACTGAAGTAAAAATTCTGTGACGGACTGTGTTACGGAATATCAATGGCAAAATAAATAGCTGTCTATTGAAAAGACTGAACTCCCCCATTTTTTGTCAATAGCCATACATTTAGTTTTAAGCACAAAATCAACTGGATAGACATGTTCCCTATCATCTTCACGGCTCACAATTCAGATGATGTTAGTGGTTTGAGGTATACAAGCTGGAAGAAGGATTTCTGCTCATTAATAATAATATTCATTGTCATCATCATCAGACAACAAATCTTACAAGCTAATTAACACTCTGGAAAATCAGACATATAATATTCATGTTTATTCCTCACCCCAGGATATCCCAGAGCAACTCTACTAAAATATCGTTAAAGAACAATTTAATATTAATAAAAGAAGCTATTCAGGAATTCGATTTAAATGCTAAATCTGTTACTTCAGTCTCTAAAAAAAACTTTAGCGTCTCTATCTCAATTATTTATCTAAAAAAGAAAGACTCGTGATATAGTACTTACTTTTATTTTATTTTTTTTTTTATTTTTAAAGATGGGGTTTCACCCTGATGGCCAGGCTGGTCTTGAACTCCTGACCTCAGATGATCCACCCACCCCGGCCTCCCAAAGTGCTAGGATTACAGGCGTGAGCCACCGCACCCGGCCAGTACTTACTTTTGTTAAAATAAAGTTTTGGACCTGAAGTGAATTTGTACCAAAGCAGCAGCTGCATTGCCACAGTTCTGTCTTCACCTTCATGATGTTTCCCTTGGTCAAAAACACACTAAGTCATCTCCAAGTTCAGCAAACAATGGCATTCAGCAAACAATGGCATTCAGCAAACAATGGGAAGGTAGAGCCACCAGAAATGTACAGCTGATTTTCATGACAATACGGTAATGCTGTATTAGCTAGTGGAGCTACTTTCTGCATTGCTATGTGGACATATGTAGCAAGGCAAACCGAGTAGAATGGAACCTGTCTCTTGTTGGTAGAGTCACCCCAAAGGAATGGAGAGATCAGTAATCATCCCAGCTGGTGTAATAATGAATTGTTTAAAAAATAATAATAATAAAATAAAAATAAAAGCTCATAATTGGCTGGGTTCGGTGGCTCACACCTGTAATCCCAGCACTTTGGGAGACCAAGGCTGGTGGACCACAAGGTCAGGAGATCGAGACCATCCAGGCTAACACCGTGAAACCCTGTGTCTACTAAAAATACAAAAAATTAGCTGGGCATGGTGGCACATACCTGTAGTCCCAGCTACTCAGGAGACTAAGACAGGAGAATCACTTGAACCTGGGAGATGGAGGTTGCAGTGAGCCAAGATCATGCCACTGTACTCCAGCCTGAGTAACACAGTGAGACTCTGTCTCAAGAAAAACCAAAACCAAAAACAAAACCCAGCTCATAATTGATGCCAAGTTAAAGGGCTGTCTACCCATTAAGACATGGCATTATTGAAGAAATAAAGTACATTTGAAACCTTAAAAATAAAAATAAAAATTTTGGGTTTTTTAATACAAACTTATAATAGAAAATGAGAAAAATGTAGAAAAGGGAAAAAAATGTAACTCAGACATAATCTTGTTAACACATTGGCACATTTCCTTTTTCAGTAAATTATTATGGCTTTTTAAATGAATGCTGGGCAAGTTATCATTGTCTGAGATTTATATAGAATGAATTATATGCCAAATGTTCCATAAGATATTTTTATTGATTATTTAAGTAACATTGCAGAAAATGACATAATTATGTCCATTTGTGTTCTCTTTAATCTTGATCAATTTTAGTTGGTGTCATTTTGTATATGCTTTTCTATATATATTTTTTCATGTTCATAGTTTTTAATGTCTAATAGTTCAGTGAATTGCTGTGCTGGAAGTTCGCTTAACTTTTCCTAAAGGAAACTTTAATATGAGTATTAAGCCCTTGGAAGAGAGGAAAAAATATGAAAGTTGTAAGTCTAATTTTCCAGAGTGTCGATTAGCCAACAAGATTTATTTTAAATAAAGTTTAGTTTTGAAATAAATCAAAATTATTGCAGGAACATACAGTGTGGGTATATAATATGTAGTTAATGTGGTGGTAAATATCAGTTCCCTTGGTATCTTTTTAAGTAAATGATAATAACGAAGTTATGCTTGTAAGGATTAATGAGCAGTCTGCCTACTATATTAAACTCCATAATAATTATCCTTTTAGTTTATCCATTAATTATCCTTTAAATGGCATATTAAGTGGTAAGCACTCAAGTGTTATAAAGCAAAGTTAGAAAAGTGATACATTTGTTAGTGCTTTTCAACATAATTGGAAAAAATATCAGATTAAGCATAGCTGAATGGTTTTGTTCCCAAAGAGTAAATTTAAAAAATTAAAAGTATGCATCTTACTATCTTTCTTAGCCAAAAAAAAAAAAAAAATCTGGTTTCCTTGCATAAACAGCATTTGATAGCATGTTTATCAGTTTGTTATGTTAGAGAATATAAATACAAATACTTTTCTATAAGGTTAATTCTTAGCACCTATCATCATCTGAGATATTTCCATATTAGAGTAAATCAATGAACCATCTAATTCAGTATCTGGTCTTTGACAGTAATCAATGTTGAGTGCATTCAAATCAGACATCAGATCTCCATGAATGTACTTAATCAGGCAGTAGTAAAGCATTGGGTAAGTTATTGGCCCAGTGACTTAAAAGCCTCTACAATTTGATCCTAGCATGTGTTATTGCAAATACCAAATCTTCTCATTACATTTTTTAGGAAAAAAAAATGTTTTCATGTTGTTTCACTCATATCCTTTAATAGTGAAAGCCACAGATGAAGAATAATATGTACAGCCTAAAGGTGCATCTCTTTATTACCTTACAGATCTTGCTTTCTAGATTCATGGATTATTTCCTTGTTCTTGGAATAGTGGAATAGATGAATAAAAACTCCATCGTTGAAACCCAGGCTCCATTCCCCTTTACTTTCTCCCTTCCAGATCTTCTTTGTTCTTCCCCGTCTTTTAGATCTTTCCTCATATGAACATCCCCTGTGGTGTCATTCTCTTACTTCGCCTTCCTCATTATCCACTCTCCTTTCCTACCTCATGACCTGTGATCATTTTCCTATTATGTCATTAAAAAAATGAACCTGATTCTCAAAGTGAGCCTGTATCATTAAGAGTTATGAAACACTGGCTGGTTGGCTCAGTTGGTTGTCAGATGGTGCTAATGAGATCCAGGTCAGGGGTACGTCCCCATATGGGACTGTTAGTTTTTCTTTGTTTAATGGCCTCAGACTGCACCCCTGGCTTTGACCAGCTCTCTCGTGAATGTATTCAAGTGGTGTGTAGGTAGATATGTACAAATTCAATCATGCTATTGGAAAATCCATACGACATTTGCTTCCAGTGGCTATTCAACGGATGTTAATAAGGATCTACTTGGTGCTGGGGGAGAAGACAAACATGAATGAGTCGCATTCCCTATCCTAAAAAAGCTTTACTATCTCCTGGCTGAGAGCCTATAAGTGATTAATTAAAATATGAGGCAGTGTGAAATACTGGTACTAGCAAGTATCAACACACAAAAGTACAGAGCAGTTAAATCTGATAGGGGAATTGGGCATGCTTCATAGAAGAGGTGGCAGTGGAACTCGCCTTTGTAAGAGGCATAGGAATTTGCTACCTAGAAAATACACATCAAACAGAAACATATTTTATCTGCTATGTATATGATGTTATCAGAAGAGCAAGAAAGAAGGGAGTTACACATGGGAAGGAAGGACATTCATTTAACAAATATTGGTTGAACACTTACTATGTGCCACTAACCTGTGCTAGGCATGGGCAGGTTAGAAATGGATTCAACATGGTTCAACTCTAGCAGTGCTTATAGTCTGCTGAGGAAGATAGACAAATACATCATTACAGGACAGTGTGGGAAGTTCTGCACTTAAGGTAAACGCATGAACAAGACCCTGTTCCCTTGTCCTGAGAAAGCTCACGCATGTGGCAGACATCACTAATTGGTTATGGCACCATTTCCCGCTGATGAAGGAGCTCAAGGTGGTCATGTTTTATATCTTCCTCCAGCTACAGCCATTTCATCCAGAATTAGACAGCTGTATCACACACTTAACTCACAGGCACAAACAAATAAGGAAGGCAGATTTGATTCTCTGTCTCTGGGAAATGTGAAGTAGGAGATACCAAGAAAACAACAGTGCAAGTGTTAAACAGAAGTGATGTTGGAGGAGTTGTGAGGAAGCAGAGTTATGAGTAAAGAAAAGATGTGTAGCATAGGGGGAGAGAATAAGGCAGTTAGAATTGGGAGTGAGTAAGGCCCATGGAGAAGAGCAAAAACGTGTGAGAAAGAGACCAGGCAGCTCATGAGAGATACAGAGAAAGGACCGATTTCTAAATAAATTTCTAGGTTTCTCCCAGGGTTCCTATCCTCATTCCCATTCATATTATCTCATAGCAAAAGCCCTTTTTCTCAAGGACTCAGTGAAACTCTGGTCCTTCCACTCAGAAG